AAAAATCCTAGAGCCCTGAAAAACAAAAATAAGGATGCGTTGCCCGTTTACTGGATGTACAATTCAAAGGCTTGGATGACAAAAGCTCTCAATCAGGACTGGTTCAAACACTGTTTCATCCCAGGGGGCAAGCGTTATTTGAGAGGAAAAGGACTGGACTTTAAAGTGCTTTTGCTCGTTGACAACGCCGGGGGTCACGCTGATGATTTGTCATACGATGGTGTGAAAATAGAATTTCTGCCACCGAACACTACATCACTGATTCAGCCCATGGACCAAGGCATCATCCGCGCTTTCAAGGCCCTGTATACACGCAACACGCTGCAGCATCTTGTTGAGTCCGTGGACTCGGATCCAGATTTCTCACTTAAGAACTACTGGCGCGGATACACCATTGCATTGTGTCTCCTAAATATTCAGAGGGCCATTCAGGAGATGAAAACAGAGACTTTGAATTCTTGCTGGAAAAAACTGTGGCCAGAGGCATTGCAAAACGCGACCGGATCATCTGTTGACGAGCTGCATCACTCTGCAGTGGATTCAGCTGTGAATCTAGCAAAACAGCTCGGAGGAGACGGCTTTAATGACATGACTGCTGATGAAGTCAATGACCTGATTGATGCACACGCACAACCACTGACGGACGAAGACCTGGCAGAGATGACAAAGCCACCAAGCGAGGATGACGGAGAAGAGGAAGAAGACACACTTGTTGATAAAGAAGAGGAGGAAGGACTAACACTTGGTCGCTTAGCAACCATGATGAGAATGGCCACTGAACTTCAGCGCGCGGCACAAGAATGGGACCCTTTGATGTGTCGTTCATTGCAGTTCTCAAATATAATTGAAGGTGGGATGTCCGTTTATAAAAATCTTCTTGCTCAGAAAAAGAGAGTGCCAACAACTACCCATAACGATGTTCTTCTCTCGGAGAAAGACCCCTGCGCAGCCTTCAGTAGAAAAAGACGCTACAGCGCAACGGAGTCAGGACGAAGAGGCGCAGCTGGAGGGACTGTGAAATACGCGAGTGACAATGTTTCCTACCTTGTATTCATTACTATATAAAAATATTGTTTTACAACACCGTTCTTTAAACTATTATAGTTATTTGTAAGAAAACGTTAATATTTCTATTTCTTTAACACATGCTGGGCCTGAAAAGAGGTTTTATTTTTTGTTTCATTCTGCAGTTCAGTATTGCATTGTAAAATCACAGTAAAAAATAAAGCTGACTACTTCGCGGATTTCACCTATTGCGGGTTATTTATGGAACGTATCCCCCGCGATAAACGAGGGTTCACTGTAAAATTCCATTCCATTCCATTTTCTTCCGCTTATCCGGAGCCGGGTCGCGGAGGCAGCAGTCTAAGCAGGGACTCCCAGACCTCCCTTTCCACACACACTTCCTCCAGCTCTTCTGGGGGGACCCCGAGGCGTTCCCAGGCCAGCCGAGAAACATAGTCCCTCCAGCGTGTCCTGGGTCTTCCCCGGGGCCTCCTCCCAGTGGGACATGCCCAGAACACCTCCCGAGGGAGGCGTCCAGGAGGCATCCGGAAAATATGCCCGAGCCACCTCAACTGGCTCCTCTCGACGTGGAGGAGCAGCGGCTCTACTCCGAGCTCCTCCCGTGTGACTGAGCTCCTCACCCTATCTCTAAGGGAGCGCCCAGCCACCCTGCGGAGGAAACTCATTTCGGCCGCTTGTATCCGCGATCTTGTCCTTTCGGTCATTACCCAGAGCTCATGACCATAGGTGAGGGTAGGAACGAAGACTGACCGGTAAATCAAGAGTTTCGCCTTTCGACTCAGCTCCTCTTCACCACAACGGTCCGATACAGCGACCGCATCACTGCTGAAGCTGCACCGATCCACCTGTCAATCTCACGCTCCATCCTCCCCTCACTCGTGAACAAGACCCCGAGATACTTGAACTCCTCCACTTGGGGCAGGGCCTCTCCACCCACCCGGAGAGGGCAAGCCACCTTTTTCCGGTCGAGAACCATGGCCTCGGATTTGGAGGAGCTGATCTTCATCCCAGCCGCTTCACACTCGGCTGCAAACCGCCCCAGTGCACATTGCAGGTCCTGGTTCGATGAAGCCAACAGAACAACATCATCTGCAAACAGCAGAGATGAAGATCCTGTGGTCCCCGAACCGGACCCCCTCCGGCCCCTGACTGCACCTAGAAATTCTGTCCATAAATACAATGAACAGAACCGGTGACAAAGGGCAGCCCTGGCGGAGTCCAACATGCACCGGGAACAGGTCTGACTTACTGCCGGCAATGCGAACACAGCTCCTGCTCCGGTCATACAGGGACCGGACAGCCCTTAGCAAAGGGCCCCGAACCCCATACTCCCAGAGCACCCCCCACAGGACACCACGAGGGACACGGTCAAATGCCTTCTCCAAGTCCACAAAGCACATGTGGACTGGTTGGGCAAACTCCCATGAACCCTCGAGCACCGATGGAGAGTGTAGAGCTGGTCCAGTGTTCCACGGCCAGGACGAAAACCACACTGCTCCTCCTGGATCCGAGGTTCGACTATCGGCCGGATTCTCCTCTCCAGTCCCTGGCATAGACCTTACCGGGAAGGCTGAGAAGTGTGATCCCCCTATAGTTGGAACACACCCTCCGGTCCCCCTTCTTATACAGAGGGACCACCACCCCGGTTTGCCAGTCCAGAGGTACTGTCCCCGACCGCCACGCGATGTTGAAGAGGCGTGTCAGCCAAGACAGCCCCACAACATCCAGAGACTTAAGGTACTCAGGACGGATCTCGTCCACCCCCGGAGCCTTGCCACCAAGGAGCTTTAACCACCTCAGTGACTTCGGCCAGGGTGATGGACGAGTCCGCCTCCGAGTCCCCAGTCTCTGCTTCCTCCTCGGAAGACGTGACGGTGGGATTGAGGAGATCCTCAAAGTATTCCTTCCACCGTCCGACTACATCCCCAGTCGAGGTCAACAGCTCTCCCCCCGCACTGTAAACAGTGTTGGTGAAGAACTTCTTCCCCCTCCTGAGGCGCCGGACGGTTTGCCAGAATCTCTTTGAGGCCGTCCGATAGTCCTTCTCCATGGCCTCCCCGAACTCCTCCCAGCTCCGAGTTTTTGCCTCTGTGACCGCTCACTGTAAAATACTTAATAAAAATTAAGTTACACAAAATAAACCTCGGACTAAACCTCGGACTAAACCTCGGACTAAACCTCGGACTAAACCTCGGACTAAACCTCGGACTAAACCTCGGACTAAACCTCGGACTAAACCTCGGACTAAACCTCGGACTAAACCTCGGACTAAACCTCGGACTAAACTGCGACTGATCCAGGTCTAAACCAGGACTGGAACAGGACTAAATCAGAACTAGACCAGTATCACGCAGGTAATTTGGACTCAAGTGCAACACAAGTATACAGGCAAACAAAGTCTTAGGTAATAACAGAAAGTGTCCTCTAACAGGTAATGTTTAATGGTAACTCAGACTGAAAATATAACAGAGGAATATATGATGTAAAATGTGAACAGAAATATCCTCCAAGACTGGGAAGTACACAAGTAAGAAATGACTGGGAGTGAACTCAGGAACAGGGACAACAGGGAAACACAGAATTGCAGAAGTAGCAAACAGATCAGAGTCAGGGTTTTCAGGAGCTTGAGTGTGTGTCTTTACAGGTTGACAATCTGGCAAAGACTGAGGGAGCAGAGGGAGTCTATATAGACTGGGCCTGGGCTGATTACTGAATGAGGAGCAGCTGTAGGGAAAGGAGGGAGGTGGCAAAAGGAGGACCGGAACAGACTGAGAAATGGAACTGGACTGGGGAAAAAAGTAAACAAAAGGCAGAACTGTGACAACCAGGAGCAAAACCAGGACTAAACTGCGACTGAACGAGGAATGACTCAGGACTAAACCAGGTCTAGACCAGGACTAGACCCAGGTCTAGACCAGGACTAGACCAGGTCTAGACCAGGTCTAAAATGTGCATTGACTCTGCTGAGTGATGAAGATGATGGATCTGGAGAAGCAGGTGGAGCTGATACGGGGCAGATCTGCAAAACGGCGTCTTGAAGATAAGAGGTTAAAGATTCGTCGAACGTGAACGAGTCCAAATAAACTTGAGATGTTTGAGTGAGAAGAAACGAGAGGAACCTGGAGGAACATGTGAGCAGAAACAGGTCGGTGTTGTTCTAGAGCACACAGACTTTAAACATCCTCAAACTGTTCAACACCACAGAGGGAGTGTCTCTGTGAACAAAGAGCCAGGACCAGGACTGAACCAGGACTAAAGCAGGTCTAAAGCAGGTCTGAACCAGGTCTAAACCAGGTCTGAACCAGGACTGAACCAGGTCTGAACCAGGACTGAACCAGGACTGAACCAGGACTGAACCAGGACTGAACCAGGACTGAACCAGGACTGAACCAGGTCTAAACGAGGATTGAACCAGGTCTAAACCAGGACTAAACGAGGATTGAACCAGGTCTAAACAAGGACTGAACAAGGACTGAACCAGGACTGAACCAGGACTGAACCAGGACTGAACCAGGACTGAACCAGGACTGAACCAGGACTGGACCAGGTCTAAACAGGACTAAACCAGGACTAAACCAGGACTGAAGCAGGTCTAAACCAGGTCTAAACCAGAACTAAACCAGGATTAAACCAGGACAGGGGACAGACAGCTTTGGTGAGTATCTGATGGGGGTTTTTTTTTTGTAATTGTTTTTTGTTTGTTTGTTTTTATGACACACCGGTGCAGAACTGGGTCACTGTTGTCCCTCTGGGTCTGGCTCTGGTCTAGTCCTGGTCTGGTTTGATCCTGGTTTGGTTCAGCACTGGAACTGGACAGAGATATAAACCAGGACTCAACCAGGTCTAAACCAGGTCTAAACCAAGACTTAAGCAGGAGTCGTGAGGAGAGAGGAGTCGATGGTCTAACTCTAGTCTAAACCCGGTCTAGCCCCGGTCTAAACGTGGACTAACCTGGTCGGGGTTGTGCAGGTCCGATGGCGTGTGGGTTCTGTCGTCGTGGTTCTCCTCAGATGGTCCTGCTCATTGTGACTGTGGCTCTGCTGCTGGAGAATCTACTGGGGACCGTCATAAGTGAGACTGACACTAAACCAGGACTAAACCAGGACTGAACCAGGACTGAACCAGGACTGAACCAGGACTAAACCAGGGACTAAACCAGGGACTGAACCAGGGACTAAACCAGGGACTAAACCAGGACCTAAACCAGGGACTAAACCAGGACTAAATGAGGACTGGAGTTGTTGTACAGTTGTAGGGAGTATTATCTGTTACATAAGGGTGAGTTGTTGTACAGTTGTAGGGAGTATTATCTGTTACATAAGGGTGAGTTGTTGTACAGTTGTAGGGAGTATTATCTGTTACATAAGGGTGAAGTTGTTGTACAGTTGTAGGGAGTATTATCTGTTACATAAGGGTGAATTGTCGTACAGTTGTAGGGAGTATTATCTGTTACAAAACTGCGAGTTGTTGTACAGTTGTAGGGAGTATTATCTGTTACATAAGAGTGAGTTGTTGTACAGTTGTAGGGAGTATTATCTGTTACATAAGAGTGAGTTGTTGTACAGTTGTAGGGAGTATTATCTGTTACATAAGAGTGAGTTGTTGTACAGTTGTAGGGAGTATTATCTGTTACATAAGGGTGAATTGTCGTACAGTTGTAGGGAGTATTATCTGTTACAAAACTGCGAGTTGTTGTACAGTTGTAGGGAGTATTATCTGTTACATAAGGGTGAGTTGTACAGTTGTAGGGAGTATTATCTGTTACATAAGGGTGAGTTGTACAGTTGTAGGGAGTATTATCTGTTACATAAGGATGAGTTGTTGTACAGTTGTAGGGAGTATTATCTGTTACATAAGGGTGAGTTGTTGTACAGTTGTAGGGAGTATTATCTGTTACATAAGGGTGAGTTGTTGTACAGTTGTAGGGAGTATTATCTGTGACATAAGGGTGAGTTGTTGTACAGTTGTAGGGAGTATTATCTGTTACATAAGAGTGAGTTGTACAGTTGTAGGGAGTATTATCTGTTACAAAACGGCGAGTTGTTGTACAGTTGTAGGGAGTATTATCTATGACATAAGGACAAGTTGTTGTTGTTCTCTCCCTCCTCTCTCCATCTCCTTCTCCTCCCTCCTATCCTCACTCCCTCTTCTCTCCTTCTTTTTCCTCTCTCTCCCTCCTCTCTCTCTCCCTCTCATCTTCTCTTTCTCCTCTCTCATTCCTTTTTTTCTCCCTCTCTCCTTCCTCTCTTTCTTCATCTCTCCCTCCTCTCTCCTCTTTCTCCTCCCTCCTTCCCTATCTCGCTCCCTCCCTCCTGTCCACCTCCTCTCACGCTCCCTCTTCTCTCTCCCTCTCTTCTTCCTCTCTTCCTTCATCTCTCCTTCCCTCTTTCCTCTCTTTTCTCTTTTCTCTCTTTGTCTGTCCAGTTCCCATCGCTCCAGCGTTGGTTTACTTCATGGAGCACCCGGAGAACTCCACCGGAGGGACCGGGGCCTCCGAGCCGGCCCTGCCCATGCACGGTGCACCTGTGCTGGACACGGAGACGCCCGACAGCCCCTCCCCTGGCTCCTCCCCTGGCTCCTCCCCTGGCTCCTCCCCCGGCTCCTCCCCCGGCTCCTCCCCCGGCTCCTCCCCCGGCTCCTCCCCCGGCTCCTCCCCGGACCAACAGCAGAACCGCACCTCCAACTCTTCTGTAAGTCACCACGAAGATCTGCAAAACTAGTTCCGCTTCAGTCTTTCTTCAGTCCTGCTTCAGTCCCGCTTCAATCCTTCTTCAATCCTTCTTCAGTCCTGCTTCAATCCTTCTTCAATCCTTCTTCAGTCCAGCTTCAGTCCTGCTTCAATCCTTCTTCAGACTTGCTTCAGACTTGCTTCAGTCCTGCTTCAGTCCTGCTTCAGTCCTGCTTCAGTCCTGCTTCAGTCCTGCTTCAGTCCTGCTTCAGTCCTCCTTCAGTCCTGCTTCAGTCCTGCTTCAGTCCTCCTTCAGTTCTCCTTCAGTTCTCCTTCAGTCTTGCTTCAGTCTTGCTTCAGTCCTGCTTCAATCCTTCTTCAGTCCATCTTCAGTCCTTCAGTCCTCCTTCAGTCCTCCTTCAGTCCTCCTTCAGTCTCCTTCAGTCCTTCAGTCCTCCTTCAGTCCAGCTTCAATCCTGTTCAGTCTTTCTTCAGTCTTTCTTCAGTCTTTCTTCAGTCTTTCTTCAGTCTTTCTTCAGTCTTTCTTCAGTCTTGCTTCAGTCTTTCTTCAGTCTTTCTTCAGTCTTTCTTCAGTCTTCCTTCAGTCTTCCTTCAGTCTTTCTTCAGTCTTCTTCAGTCCTCCTTCAGTCCTCCTTCAGTCCAGCTTCAATCCTTCTTCAGTCTTGCTTCAGTCTTGCTTCAGTCTTGCTTCAGTCTTTCTTCAGTCTTGCTTCAGTCTTCTTCAGTCCTGCTTCAGTCTTGTTCAGTCTTTCTTCAGTCCTGCTTCAGTCCTGCTTCAGTCTTGTTCAGTCTTTCTTCAGTCCTGCTTCAGTCTGCTTCAGTCTTCAGCTTCAGTCTTCAGTCTTGTTCAGTCTTGTTCAGTCTTGTTCAGTCTTGTTCAGTCTTGTTCAGTCTTTCTTCAGTCCTGCTTCAGTCTTGTTCAGTCTTTCTTCAGTCTTTCTTCAGTCTTTCTTCAGTCTTTCTTCAGTCTTTCTTCAGTCCTGCTTCAGTCCTGCTTCAGTCCTGCTTCAGTCCTGCTTCAGTCCTGCTTCAGTCCTGCTTCATTCCTGTTCTGTACATTGTGCTCCACAGCGCCACCTAGACGTAAGCTTTAAAGTGGGGGCCTTGTTCGCGACCAAATATCTGGTCCAGCTCTGCTTCAGCCCCGTCGTGGGACCTCTCACCAACAGGTACCGGTCCTGGTTCAGATCTGCGTTAGTCCTGGTTCAGATCTGCGTTAGTCCTGGTTCAGATCTGCGTTAGTCCTGGTTCAGATCTGGTTCAGTCTTGGCTAACAAAACATTTAAAGTCCAAAATGACGAGGCTCGCAGCAGCAGTCGTCACAGAGACAAGACCATTTCTCAGTGTCAAGTCAAAACATGCAGCACAAACCATCAAACGTCCATGTTTGTTTTCCCAGTGGGACGTGTCTATTGTCAAAGTCGATCTTTTCAAGTCTTTTGAACCATATCACTTAGTGTTAATTCAACTTCCCCTAGTGTTATTTCAACTTTATCTAGTGTTAATTTGGCTCCTTCCACCACCACTTCAAACTCCCGTCAGAGTAGAACCAGTTTGAACCAGTTTTGTTCATAATTTCATCTTAAATTAACTCAAATAAAGTGTAAAAATAAAACTCCTCCATGTGTTGTTTAGTTAAATCAGATTAACTCTACAAAGTGTTATCTGTTTACTCTCCAAACGTGAATATAACTCTGGATTTGGGGTTAAACAGGAACTTTGGTCCAGTGTTACTTAATGAACATTTCCAAAACTGTTAAATTAACTCTAGAACAGATTGGACTCAGATAAACACAGAGAAAATGTTAAAATTGATTCTGTGAGAGTCGATTTTAACACTCCAGTTTTTACTCTGTGCTGTGGTGAGGGTCTGTATTGCCGCTTGTGGTTCAAACTCTGTTGTTTTGTTTGTAGGATTGGGTTCCACATCCCGCTGTTTGTCGGGTTCCTGATCATGTTCATCTCAACTCTCTGTGAGTGTCACTGTTTAGACCTGGTTTAGTCCTGGTTTAGACCCGGTTTAGACCCGGTTTAGACCCGGTTTAGACCCAGTTTAGACCCGGTTTAGACCCGGTTTAGACCTGGTTTAGTCCTGGTTTAGACCTGGGTTTAGATCCTGGTTTTAGACCCCGGTTTAGACCCGGTTTAGACCCGGTTTAGACCCGGTTTAGACCCGGTTTAGACCTGGATTAGACCTGGTTTAGTCCTGGTTTAGTCCTGGTTTAAACCTGGTTTAGACCCAGTTCAAACCTGGGTTTAGACCCCGGTATAGACCTGGTTTAGACCCGGTTTAGACTGGGTTCTCGACTCGGTCTCGACTGGGTCTTGACTGGGTCTCGACTGGGTCTCGAGGTCTCGACTGGGTCTCGACTGGGTCTTGACTGGGTCTCGACTCGGTCTTGACTGGGTCTTGACTGGGTCTCGACTCGGTCTTGTTGCTGTAGTGTTTGTGTTTGCGGACTCGTTCGTGCTGCTCTTCTTGGCGCGGGGCGTCCAGGGCGTCGGTGCCTCCTTCAGTTTCGTGGCAGGAATCGGTTTGTTGGCGACGACTTTCCCCGACGACCTGGAGCGAGGCCAGGCCATGTCCATCGCTCTGGGGGGGCTGGCCCTGGGAGTCATCTGTAAGAAGTCACTTTAATCTGGACTAAACCGGGACTAAACCGGGACTAAACCGGGACTAAACCGGGACTAAACCGGGACTAAACGGGACTAAACGGGACTAGATCGGGACTAAGGGACTAATCGGGACTACCGGGACTACACAGGACTGAACCAGGACTAAACCAGGACTAACCAGGACTAAACCAGGACTAGATCAGGACTGAACAGGACTAAACCAGGACTAAACCGGGACTACACCAGGACTACACCAGGACTGAACCAGGACTAAACCCGGTCTGTATCCAGTCTGTGAATGTGCTGTTTCAGGTGGGGGTCCGTTCGGCAGTGTCATGTATGAGTTTGTGGGGAGGAGCGCCCCCTTCCTGGTGCTGGCGGGAGTGGCTCTGCTCTCTGGAGGTGGGTGGATTTATGGAGTCGTCTGAAAACGGCTGTAGTCCGGTCTTTATTGGTTGAAAGTTCCGTGTTTTATTCCGGCTTCCGACTCCCGTCCGTGGAGGAACGACAAACCGAGACGACAGAAAAGTCGGGAGCGGCTGAAGTGTTTGTTTTCTTCCCAAAGACATAAATCCGTTGGTGTCTCTGTCCAATCAGAACTCTTCCCTTTTCCATGGAAACCTCGATTCAGAATTATTATTTCCATGAGAATATTTTAATTCTGAACAATTTAATTCAAAACTATTAATTCGGAATTTTAAAAAAACATCATGTAAACGTGGCCGAAGTGGGGAAAGTATGAAGATGAACGAATTCCACAGTAATACAAGCATCACGAATTTCAGACTTACGATCATCGCGCAATTAATACTGGGAAGAATCTTTTGAAAAAGTGAACGTCAAACGTCCATGTTTGTTTTCCCAGTGGGACGTGTCTATTGTCAAAGTCGATCTTTTCAAGTCTTTTGAACCATATCACTTTTGTTTCTGGTTCTGATATTGTCATATTTTAGTTTTGGGATTCAGACGTCGTAATTGTTGTGGTTGTTGGATCCTAACAGCGGAAAACGACTCGAGAAATGTGTTTGTGAACTTCATAAATGCAAAAGTGAATCAGATGTGTGTGACTCAAACCTCTGTTCAAACTGTTTCTCTTCTCAACAGAATTGAAAAATAGTGAAAGGTGAAGGTGATGGGCAGGATTGATCCACAGGAAGAACCAAAAAGGAAACATTTGTCTGACAAAGTTTACAAGTGAGTTTACAGAGAACATTTTGTATGTGGAGCGACGACAAAACAAAATCCGGTTTGTTAATGTAGAGGAGCAGAAGACAAACAGACTGAGCTGCACTTTCTTGTTCTTGTGGTTTTACAGAAACATCACGTCTTGGTCTTTGCAGTGGAAGGTGTTTCTTGGTGAACAGTTGGAGACTTTCACTTTGACGTTGACTTTTTAAATTCATAACCGAGGTTGAACGAAGGATCAGGATTTTGTTTTGTCGTGGCTCCACATACAAAATGTTCTCTGTAAACTCAGGATGATTTAGTCAGACAAATGTTTCCTTTTTGGTTCTTCCTGTGGATCAATCCTGCCCATCACCTTCACCTTTCACTATTTTTTAAATCCGTTGAGAAGAGAAACAGTTTGAACGGAGGTTTGAGTCACACACATCTGATTCACTTTTGCATTTATGGAGTTTGTAATGAGGACTGTAATATGTGGAAGCTTGAGTTCTGGCTGACAGTCACTACAGGGTGTCGGGTCAGGACAGCAGTTATAGAAGTTCAGGTGAGTAAGAATGAGGGAGTCCACATCCAGGTAAATGTAGAACATATCTTTAATGTCTGAGCACTTAAAGACGTGTTTGGTTCTATCTAAAGGACGCACACTTTCATTCAGACATTAAAGTGTCCGAGACAGAGCAGATGCACCGAGCGTCACGCCGCTATATTGAATGAAGAGTTCATGATTCACTCGGCAGGTGCGCCGCTCTTGTGGTGAAAAAGAGTATAACAATAAACAACAACTAATAATATAACAAGACTAAATGTCTTTTATACAGAGTTCGCAAACTAATTTCTCGAGCCGTTTTCCGCTGTTTGGATCCAACAACCACACAACTACGATGTCTGAATCCCAAAACTAAAATATGACAATATCAGAACCAGAAACAAAAGTGATATGGTTCAAAAGACTTGAAAAGATCGAGTTTGCCAACAGACACGTCCCACTGGGAAAACAAACATGGAGGTTTGATGTTCAGTTTTAGGAAAATCCTTCTCAGTATGAATTGTGCGATGACCAGAAGTCAGAGATTCGTGACACATGTATAACAAAGCTCCCTCATGGAAACCTTCTCAGTCCGGTACCTTTTGAGTCGGTATCTTCAGACGGAACATGACTGGGGGCGAGGTCCTGTTTGAGGGTCTTTTCTGATTCTTGTGTTTGGTTTTGCTCCTCAGCGCTGCAGCTCTGTTTCCTGAGGCCCACACAGGTCGCTCCAGAGGTGAGTCCACATCACGGCCGTCTCACACTTTATGGAGGTGGAATGTTCCTCTCTCAGAAGAAAAACAACAGTCAGACAGTCGTCTATATTCTAAAAAATATTTAATAACAAATAAAAACATCAGTTGTTGATTTTGTGTTTTCATTTTGTTTCACAGAGCACAAAAGGAACACCTTTATTCACACTCCTGAGAGACCCGTACATCCTGCTCGCCGCAGGTACCAGGACTGAACCAGGACTGAGCCAGGACTACACTGGACTACACCTGGACTAAACCAGGACTAAACCTGGACTACACCTGGACTACACCTGGACTACACCTGGACTGCACCTGGACTGAACCAGGACTCAGGACTGAACCAGGACTGAACCAGGACTGAACCAGGACTAAACCAGGACTACACCAGGACTGACACCAGGACTGAACCAGGACTAACCAGGACTGAACCAGGACTACACCTGGACTGAACCAGGACTACACCTGGACTGAACCAGGACTGAACCAGGACTACACCTGGACTAAACCAGAACTACACCTGGACTAAACCAACTACACCTGGACTAAACCAGAACTACACCTGGACTAAACCAGAACTGAGCCAGGACTAAACCAGGACTGACTGGACTACACCTGGACTACACCTGGACTACACCTGGACTAGCCAGGACTGAGCCAGGACTGAGCCAGGACTGAGCCAGGAGCCAGGACTGAGCCAGGACTGAGCCAGGACTGGCCAGGACTGAGCCAGGACTGAGCCAGGACTGAGCCAGGACTAAACCAGGACTGAACCAGACTGAACCAGGACTGAACCAGGACTGAACCAGGACTGAACCAGGACTGAACCAGGACTGAACCAGGACTACACCTGGACTAAATCAGGACTGAGCCAGGACTGAACCAGGACTAACCCAGGTCTTTGTTCCAGGGGGCACTGTCATAGCTCAGACTATGATTTCGGTCTGTGACACCATCCTGCCCATGTGGATGATCGAGACCTTCGGCGCCTCCCAGCTGCTGCTCGGTGCGTTACACTTCGTCTGTGTTTTGTTGAACTTCTCCAGTGTCACGGTTCATCCTTTGTCTTTGTTGTTTTTGTATATTTTGGTGTCTTATTCCTCATTCCTGCCCGTGGCTCATCTCTTTCCTCTTTCTTCGCTTCTTTCTCCGTTATTAGCGCCTCCTACAGACTGAAACTAAATTTAATATGGAAGAAAAAAAACGTTTCTCAAAAATTTCAGAAATTTTGCCCAAAATTCAGTTTTGGCCTCCCGATCCAAAAAGTCAATGACAACCGTGTCATATTTGTTATGGCATTGCCATAATGATGACATAAACTCTTCATGTTATTCCAATGGTAAAACTGACAAATCACAAACTTTGGCCAAATTTAGTCAAATTTTAATCGTGGGTTCACACCCTCGCGGGTTTGAGGGGCGTCTTGTTTGCGCGGCGCGGTGTTTGTGCGTCTCTTGTATTTCCATGATCCACTGTGTGTGTTTCAGGCATTGTGTTCCTCCCGGCCTGCGTGACCTACACTCTCACCATGAGCCTGTTCGGGACCCTGAGCCAAAAGCTCGGCCGGTCAGTCCCTTTGTGTTTCTGTTCGTATGTTCTTGATCTTTGTTCACCGCAGACGGTATAAAGACGTGTTGTGAGCGAATGTGAAGTCACCCACAGCGTAAATCTGTGGCTAAACCACGTGTGGAAAAGTGTGTGTAAATGTAAACGTGTGTGTGTAAACGTGTGTGTGTAAAGGTGTGTGTGTAAACGTGTGTGTGTAAACGTGTGTGTGTAAACGTGTGTGTGTGTAAACGTGTGTGTGTGTGTGTGTAAACGTGTGTGTGTGTGTGTGTGTAAACGTGTGTGTGTAAACGTGTGTGTGTGTGTGTAAACGTGTGTGTGTAAAGTGTGTGTGTGTGTGTGTGTGTGTGTGTAAACGTGTGTGTGTGTGTGTGTGTGTGTAAACGTGTGTGTGTGTGTGTGTGTAAACTGTGTGTGTGTGTGTGTGTAAACGTGTGTGTGTGTGTGTGTGTGTAAACGTGTGTGTGTGTGTGTGTGTGTGTGTAAACGTGTGTGTGTGTGTAAACGTGTGTGTGTGTAAACGTGTGTGTGTAAACGTGTGTGTGTGTGTAAACGTGTGTGTGTGTGTAAACGTGTGTGTGAACGTGTGTGTGTAAACGTGTGTGTGTGTGTAAACGTGTGTGTGTGTGTAAACGTGTGTGTGTGTGTGTAAACGTGTGTGTGTGTGTAAACGTGTGTGTGTAAACATGTGTGTGTGTAAACGTGTGTGTGTAAAACGTGTGTGTAAACATGTGTGTGTGTGTAAACGTGTGTGTGTGTAAACGTGTGTGTGTAAACGTGTGTGTAAACGTGTGTGTGTAAACGTGTGTGTGTAAACATGTGTGTAAACGTGTGTGTGTGTGTGTGTAAACGTGTGTGTGTAAACGTGTGTGTGTGTGTGTGTAAACTGTGTGTAAATGTGTGTGTGTAAACGTGTGTGTGTGTGTGTAAACGTGTGTGTGTGTGTGTGTGTAAATGTGTGTGTGTGTAAACGTGTGTGTGTGTAAACGTGTGTGTGTGTAAACGTGTGTGTGTGTGTGTAAACGTGTGTGTGTGTAAACGTGTGTGTGTAAACGTGTGTGTAAACGTGTGTGTGTGTGTAAACGTGTGTGTGTAAACGTGTGTGTGTGTGTGTAAACGTGTGTGTGTAAACGTGTGTGTGTGTGTAAACGTGTGTGTGTGTGTGTAAACGTGTGTGTGTGTGTGTAAACGTGTGCGTGTAAACGTGTGTGTGTAAACGTGTGTGTGTAAACGTGTGTGTGTGTAAACGTGTGTGTGTGTGTAAAGGTGTGTGCTCTTTCTTTGTGCAGGTGGCGGTGCGTCATTGTCGGGTTGATCGTGAACGGAGTCACCATGGCCTGTGTGAGTAGCTCTAGCATTGATTGGTCCGTTTGAATGTCACTGTGCTCCGATTGGTCCGTCTGACTGTGTCTCTGCTGTGATTGGTTCAGATGCCGTTGTCGAAAAAACATCGCCGCTGTGTTTGCATGTGTCGGTGTGCTCGGCTTCTCTGCCGGTCAGTATGAAACCGGACACAAATCTACGACTAAACGACAGACTAAAGGACGTCCAAACCAAATCTAACTCACATCTAACCCAGGTCTAATCCAGCTCTAAACCAGGTCTAACCCAGGTCTAAAACCAGGTCTAAACCAGGTCTAAACCCAAGTCTAAACCAGGTCTAAACCAGCTCTAACCCAGCTCTAACCCAGGTCTAAACCAGATCTAAACCAGGTTTAAACCAGGTCTAAACCAGGTTTAAACCCAGATCGAAATCCAGGTCTAAACCCAGGTCTAAACCCAGGTCTAAAAACCAGGTCTAAAACCAGGTCTAAACCAGGTCTAAAACCAGGTTCTAAACCAGGTCTAAACCCAGGTCTAAACCCAGGTCTAAAACCAGGTTTAAACCAGGTCTAAACCCAGGTCTAAACCCAAGGTCTAAAACCAGGTTGGTCTAAACCCAGGTCTAAACCAGGTCTAAACCAGGTCTAAACCCAGGTCTAAACCCAGGTCTAAACCCGGTCTCTGTGTTTCAGGGATCCTGGAAGTGTCTCTCTTGCCCATCTTCGCTCAGCTTGTGGACATTCGCCACGTTTCTGTTTACGGCAGCGTTTACGCCATCACCGACGTGGCTCTGTGCTTCGGCTTCAGCTGCGGTAAAACACAACATAGAACTGACAGGGACACTGACAGGGACACTGACAGGGACAGTGACAGGGACACTGACAGGGACAGTGACAGGGACACTGACAGGGACACTGACAGGGACACTGACAGGGACAGTGACAGCAACACTGACAGGGACACTGACAGGGGTGGGGACAGGGATACTGACAGGGGCAGGGACACTGACAGGGGCACTGACAGGGCAGGACACTGGGTGAGAGGGAAAGGGACACTGACAGGGTCGGGGACAGGGATACTGACAGGGGCACTGACAGGGCAGGGGCTGACAGGGGAGGGCACTGACAGGGGCAGGGACACTGACAATAACAGGGGCAGGGACAATAACAGGGATGGTGACACTGACAGGGACAGTGAGAGGGACAATGACAGTGAGAGGGACGATGACCAGGACAATGACACTGACAGGGACACTGACAGGGACTCTGAGAGGGACAGTGACAGGGACAGTGACAGGGACACTGACAGACAGTGACAATGACAGGGACAGGGACACTAACAGTGACAGGGACAGTGAGAGGGAAAGGGACAATGACAGGGACAGGGATGATGACAGGGACAGGGACACTGACAGGGACACCAACAGGGACAGGGACACTGACAGAGACAGTGACAGGGACAGTGAGGTGACAGGGACAGTGACAGGACAAATGAGAGGGACAAGGACAGTGAGAGGGACGATGACCAGGACACTGACAGGGACACTGACAGGGACTCTGAGAGGGACAGTGACAGGGACACTGACAGAGACAGTGACAGGGACAATGACAGGGACAGGGACACTAACAGTGACAGGGACAGTGAGAGGGAAAGGGACAAGGACAGGGACAGGGACAGGGACACTGACAGGGACACTAACAGGGACAGGGATAATGACAGGGACAGGGACACTGACAGGGACACCAACAGGGACAGGGACACTGACAGAGACAGTGACAGGGACAGTGACACTGACAGGGACAGTGACAGGGACAATGACAGTGACAGGGACGATGACAGGGACAATGACAGTGAGAGGGACGATGACAGGGACACACTGACAGGGACACTGACAGGGACAGTGAGAGGGACAATGACAGGGACAGGGACACTGACAGGGACAGGGACAGGGACACTGACAGAGACAGTGACAGGGACAGTGACACTGACAGGGACAATGACAGGGACAATGACAGTGACAGGGACAGTGAGAGGGACGATGACAGGGACACTGACAGGGACACTAACAGGGACAGGGACACTGACAGAGACAGTGACAGGGACAGTGACACTGACAGGGACAGTGACAGGGACAATGACACTGACAGGGACAGTGACAGGGACACTGAGAGGGACAGGGACTCTGAGAGGGACAGTGACAGGGACAGTGACTCTGACAGGGACACTGACAGGGGCAGGGACAATAACAGGGATGGTGACAGGGACAGTGAGAGGGACACTAACAGTGACAGGGACACTGACACTGACAGGGACAGTGACACTGACAGGGACAGTGAGAGGGACAATGACAGGGACAGTGACAATGACAGGGACACTAAGAGGGACACTAAGAGGGACAGGGACACTGACAGAGACAGTGACAGGGACAATGACAGGGACAGTGACACTGACAGGGACACTGACAGTGACAGGGACAGGGACAGGGACAGGACAGTGACAGGGACAGGGACAGGGACAGTGACAGGGACACTGACAGGGGACAGTGACACTGACAGAGACAGTGACAGGGACACATGACAGGGACAGTGACACTGACAGGGACAGTGACAGGGACAGGGACAATGACAGGGACAGTGACAGGGACAGTGACAGGACACTGACAGTGACAGGGACTGACAGGGACAGGGACAGGGACAGGGACAGGGACACTGACAGGGACAGGGACAGGGACAGTGACAGGGACTGACAGGGACAGTGACAGGGACAGTGACAGGGACAGTGACAGGGACAGTGACAGGGACAGCGCCTGAGCCTTTCTCTTGTGTTGAATATTTGCCCCGCTCGCGTTTCCATGATGTTTTTTTTTATTCCTAATTCATTGTTCTGAATTAAATAGTTTGGAATTTAAATATTCTCCATGGAGTTTAAATGGAAATAATGTTTATAGACTTTAACAGAGCCATTTTTAGCTGTTGCTGCACCAAAACAATAAATTTAGACAAAGAGACTTGAGATTCGATATCGTGTGACGGCCCACGATGGAACGGTGAGACTTTTGACGATTCGATATCACGATATTTCGATTATTTTTCACATTGCAAATTCCAAATAATCATTTTCATTAGGAATTAAGTGTTTACACGGTGTTTTTAAAGCACATTTTTTATTCAGAATTAAAATTATTCTTCCATTCATCCATCCATTAAAGCTCTCATGTAAATTATGGCATGAAAGGAGGAATAAATTACTTTTGTTTCATAATCTGAATAAACCAGCCGCCGAATTCAGAGTTAAGTTGAATTAATTCTGAAGTGACGTAAACAGGAACAGTGTGAAGAGCAGGAAGGGCATCAGGAGTAAAGAGCATCTCTGGGACATGCAGTCAGATCAGACGCAGGGAGAGGACTAATTCCACCTGATGGGCTCTGCTTCCATCTTTTCGCAAGATGTAGGTCCCTGTCAGCACCTGTCAGCACCTGTCAGAGGAGTTTATGTTTGCTCTGGGAACGGCCCCCTCTGGGTGTAGTACCGGCGAGTGGCCACTAGTCCAGCTCGACGTGGGTCGAAGCAGATCCAGGCTTTAAATGCACCTGTCACTGTGCTCCTGTCACTGTGCTCCTGTCACTGTGCTCCTGTCACTGTGCTCCTGTCACTGTGCTCCTGTCACTGTGCTCCTGTCACCGTGCTCCTGCCACTGTGCTCCTGCCACTGTGCTCCTGCCACTGTGCTCCTGCCACTGTGCTCCTGCCACTGTGCTCCTGCCACTGTGCACCTGTCACCGTGCTCCTGTCACCGTGCTACTATCACCGTGCTCCTGCCACTGTGCTCCTGCCACCTGTACCTGTCTGCTCCTGTCACTGTGCTCCTGTCACCATGTACCTGTCTCTGTGCTCCTGCCACTGTGCTCCTGTGCACCTGTCACTGTGCTCCTGTCACTGTGCTCCTGTCACTGTGCTCCTGTCACTGTGCTCCTGTCACTGTGCTCCTGTCACTGTGCTCCTGTCACTGTGCTGTCACTGTGCTCCTGTCTCTGTGTTGGCAGGGCCTCTGGCAGGGGGCGCTCTGATGGACGCTGTGGGGTTTTCCAACGTCATGTTGATCTTTGGAGTCGCCAACTTCCTGTACACCCCACTGTGTTACTTCCTACGAAACCCCCCGACCACAGACGAGAAGAAGGTGAGACTGAACCAGGAACCAGGACTGAACCAGGACTGAACCAGGACTGAACCAGGACTGAACCAGGACTAAACCAGGACTAAACTAGGACTAAACTAGGACTAAACCAGACCTAAACCAGGACTAAACCAGGACTGAACCAGGACTGAACCAGGACTGAACCAGGACTGAACCAGGGACTGAACCAGGACTAAACCAGGTCTAAACCAGGACTAAACCAGGACTAAACCAGGTCTAAACCAGGACTGAACCAGGACTGAACCAGGACTAAACCAGGTCTGAACCAGGACTGAACCAGGACTAAACCAGATCTAAACCAGGACTAAACCAGATCTAAACCAGGACTGAACCAGGACTAAACCAGGACTATACAAGGTCTAAACCAGATCTTTCTTCTGCAGCCCATTGTGAACGGAGACACAGTTAAATATAAAGTGCAAGACTGAAGTTGGACCAGCAGGGGGCAGAACCTCCTGTCTCCGCCCACCACCTCCTGTCTCCGCCCACCACCAAACTTTTCACATCTCTCCCGGACCGGAGCGGAGTTTTGCCTTCACAGTAATTAATGTTCACAACAACAACTAGCATGCCAAGGCACTCTTCCTGATTCTCAGACAGTAAAAAAAAAAAACACGGTGGACTCGTTTGGACCTTAAGAGCTGCTTTTACAAAAACAAAAACAGACATTGTGACAGTGAGCGGGGTCGCCTCTCCACAGATCTGACCTGTCAATCGGTCTGGTCTGGAAACGTTTAATGCCACACTGTGAAACATTCCAGGCAAAACAATCAGAAGCAGAAGGACTTTTATTTGTCAGTCTACAGGTTGGAGAGCCCTAATCTAAGTCCTTGTCTTCTACTTTCTTTTTTTTCTTTCTTTTTTAAAATAAATAATGATGATGATAATAACACTAACAATAATAATAATTATTGTTGTTACTGTTGCTACTATTGCCATATGTGTGTGTGTGTGTGTGTGTATATGTATGTATATGTGCGTGTGTGCGTATATATGCGTATGTATGTGTGTGTGTGTGTGTGTGCGTATGTGTGTATATGTGCGTGCGTGTGTGTGTATATGTGCGTGCGTGTGTGTGTATATGTGCGTGCGTGTGTGTATATGTGCGTGCGTGTGTGTGTGTATATGTGCGTGCGTGTGTGTGTGTGTGTGTGTGCGTGCGTGCGTGTGTATGTGTGCGTGCGTGTGTGTATATGTGCGTGCGTGTGTGTATATGTGCGTGTGTGTGCGTGCGTGTGTGTGTATATGTGCGTGCGTGCGTGTGTGTGTGTATATGTGCGTGCGTGTGTGTATATGTGTGCGTGCGTGCGTGTGTGTGTATATGTGCGTGTGTGTGCGTGTGTGTATATGTGCGTGTGTGTGTGTATATGTGCGTGGTGCGTGTGTGTGTGTATATGTGCGTGTGTGTGTGTGTGTATATGTGCGTGCGTGTGTGTGTATATGTGCGTGCGTGTGTGTATATGTGTGTGTCTATGTGCATGCGTGTGTGTGTCTATGTGCGTGCGTGCGTATATGTGCGTGCGTGCGTGTATATGTGCGTGCGTATATGTGCGTGCGTGCGTATGTGTGCGTGCGTGTGTGTGCGTATGTGTGTGTATATGTGCGTGCGTGTGTATATGTGCGTGCGTGCGTATATGTGCGTGCGTGTGTATATGTGCGTGCGTGCGTGTGTGTATATGTGCGTGTGCGTGCGTGTGTGTATGTGCGTGCGTATATGTGCGTGCGTGTGTGTATATGTGTGTGTATATGTGCGTGCGTGTGTGTATGTGCGTGCGTGTGTATATGTGCGTGTGCGTGTGTGTGTGTATATGTGCGTGCGTGCGTGCGTATATGTGCGTGCGTGCGTGTGTATATGTGCGTGTGCGTGTGTGTATATGTGTGTGTGTGTGTGTGTGTGTGCGTATATGTGTGTATATGTGCGTGCGTGTGTGTATATGTGCGTGTGTGTATATGTGTGTGCGTATATGTGCGTGTGTGTATATGTGCGTGCTGTGTGCGTGTGTATATGTGCGTGCGTGCGTGTATATGTGCGTGTGTGTGTGTGTGTGTGTCTATGTGCGTGTGTGTGTATATGTGCGTGCGTGTGTATATGTGCGTGCGTGTGTGTGTGTGTGTGTGTATATGTGCGTGTGTGTGTATATGTGCGTGCGTGCGTGTGTATATGTGCGTGCGTGTATGGTCCAGTGTTACTTAAAGGTTGTATAGAGGATTTTTTTAAGGGAAGAGAAATACAGCGACAGTCCTCGTGCGCGTTCAGAATTACTGTTGAAGTTTCCTGTCTAGAAGTAATTCAGCGACCGACGCGTCACTTTTTAGACCCTTCGTCTGCTTCGGTCGCGCCATCGCTGGACGAGATCTCCAAGAATCACCTCAGTTTGGCTTTGCTCCTTTTCCTCTTCTCTTCTTCTTTCCTCAAAAACGGACTTTCTTTTGCGGCGAACCGGTCGTGGATTCTCGTCCGCCGTCGCGACAAACTTTGTGCGAAATGCGAGGAAGTGACAGTTCGAAAAAGACTCTAAGAACCGCTGCATAAACCACGTAATCCCCGCGCTCCGACGAGTCACTTACACTAGGGAGTTTGATTGACAACCTAACAGCCAATAGAAAATGAGGGAGCCTCGTTTTCTATTGGCTGATGTTTATCTGGCCGCACTACGTCCACAGTTGATAGATTTTTGATTTATAGATTTAGATTCTTTTTTTTTGGTCATCATAATTACAAAGCTGCTTCATCTCTGTAATGGTATTTTAATCTTTCACTGACAGTTTGAAACAAAAAAAAATCCTCCATACAACTTTTAATGAACATTTCCAAAACTGTTAAATTAACTCTAGAACAGATTGGACTCAGATAAACTCTGAGAAAACGTTAAAATTTATTCTGTGAGAGTCGATTTTAACACTCCACTTTTTACTCTGTGTATAAATCTCGTGGGGCTCATGGGTTTGATCAAATAAAATATTGATCACAAAAAAAAAAAAAACCGGTCTGTACTGGAGAGAGACACGATTTTTTTTTTTAGATACATTGGGAAAAATGGAACAGTTTAAAGGTCTGTGTCATTTTTCTGGTGGGGGGTTCACTACCTGCGGGTCTCTATTAAAATCAGGGACTGTGAGATCCTGAAGTGACTCTTTCCGTCCACCAGAGGGAGCTCTTGTACCATTCGAAAAAACCCTGACTTTAAAGGTTGTATGGAGGATTTTTTGTTTGTTTCAAATTGTCAATGAACGTTTAAAACACCATTACAGAGATGCAGCAGCCTTGTAATTATGATGACCAAAAAAAAAAAAGAAGAAAATCCATCAACTGTGGACGTGTTGAGGCCAGTTAAACATCAGGCAAAATGAGGCAGCCTCGTTTTCTATTGGCTGTCAGGTTGTCAATCAAACTCCCTACGTTTCTAAGGTAACTATGCAGCAGTTCTTAGAGGCTTTTTCTAATTGTGGCTCTCGCAGTTCGCATAAATTTGTTGCGATGGCGGACGAAAATCCATGACCAGTTTGTCGCAAAAAAAAGTCGGTTTTTGAGGTCGCTGAAAGAAGAGGAGGAGGAGAAAAGGAGCGAAGACAAACTGAGGTGATTCTTGGAGATTCCTCCCAGCGACGGCGCGACCAAAGAGGACGAAGGGTCTAAAAACTGAGGTGTCGGTCTCTAAATTATTTCTAGAGGGACCTGTGGAGGAGGAAGGTGGTGTCACGCGTGCACTACATTTGAAAAAGGACTGTCGCTGGATTTCTCTTTCCTTAAAAAAAATCCTCTATACAACCTCTTAATCCCAGCGCGCCAGCGAGTCAGTGACGCTAGAAACGTAGGGAGTTTGATTAACAACCTAACAGCCAATAGAAAATGAGGTAGCCTTGTTTTCTAGTGGCTGATGTTTATCTGGCCTCAACACGTCCACAGTTGATAGATTTTCATTCTTTTTTTTGGTCATCATAATTACAAAGCTGCTGCGTCTCTGTAATGGTATTTTAAACTTTCACTGACAATTTGAAACAAATAAAAAAATCCTCCATACAACCTTTAATTTAAATTTAGACTTAAGACAAACTTTATTGACGCACAAGAGAAATTATTTGGACACAGGAGTCACACGTCACCATTTAATAAAATAACAAAGAGTAAAAAATATAAATGTGATAATAAATTATAAATAAGCAGAAAAAAAAAAAAAAAAGCAAAAGACACGAGTCAAATAAAACATAATTATATAAATGTAAATGTACATGTCAAAATAAAATAGAAAAATAAGTAAGAAAAATAAAAAACAGGACATAGGGTTATCTGTTACGTAAGGGTGAGTTGTCGTACAGTTGTAGGGAGTATTATCTGTTACATAAGGGTGAGTTGTCGTACAGTTGTAGGGAGTATTATCTGTTACATAAGGGTGAGTTGTCGTACAGTTGTAGGGAGTATTATCTGTTACATAAGGGTGAGTTGTCGTACAGTTGTAGGGAGTATTATCTGTTACATAAGGGTGAGTTGTCGTACAGTTGTAGGGAGTATTATCTGTTACGTAAGGGTGAGTTGTCGTACAGTTGTAGGGAGTATTATCTCTTACATAAGAGTGAGTTGTTGTACAGTTGTAGGGAGTATTATCTCTTACATAAGAGTGAGTTGTTGTACAGTTGTAGGGAGTATTATCTGGTCTTAAGACCCATTTTTTCTCTCTAGCTTTTAACACCGTGACAGTTGTGTGATCCTTAGTGTCTTTTATTTTTTGTTTATTTATTGTTTTGCTCTATTTTATTCTTTTAGTACTGCCTTTATTTATTGATTTATTTTATTATTATTCTTTTATCTATTTAATCTATTAGTTTCTTTTGTTCGGAAAATAATTCTGCAGATTTTTTAGACTTAAATGTCTTGTTTATAAAATGTGTTATACAAATAAAATTGTGTTGGATTGAATAAAACAGCGAGTCCAGTGTTTTATTTTGAATGTCCCGGGCTGGTGCTCCGGGGGCGGGGCCTGTGGGGTCTCTGTGGGCGGGGCCTGTGGGGTCTCTGTGGGCGGGGCCTGTGGGTCTCTGTGGGCGGGGCCTGTGTGTCTCTGTGGGCGGGGCTCCGGCGCTTCTCTCCGGGGCTGAACACGAGTGAGCGAGCGCCTGTTCCTCCCACCGCTGCGCCCGGGATCCGCAGCTCCTCCAGCGGGTCAAAACCTCCGAACACCCCGTGCCCTCCCCCCCAGTCCTCCGTGTCCCCCCCGGGGGCTGTCTCCGGTCATGCCCCGGCGGTCGTAGCGGGCTCGGGCTTCACCATGAGCGGCTGGAGCGCTGCGCAGTGCCGCTTCGTGCACTACTTCGCGGTGTGCGGACTGGACCCTCAGAGCGGACTGGAGCCGGACCGGTTGGCGGGTAAGGAAATGCGCAGTTTTTTCACGATATTTTTTACGCTTCTGTTTCGTAAAGTCGAACTGAATTCTGACGAGCGACAAACGGAGAGAAACTCGTGCAGATTTAGCGCAGTTTTTGGGGGGTAACAAAGAGCGCGCGCTGGGGTCAACAACCTGTCACCGCGTGGACTTTTAAAGGGCTCTGTTCCACCTCGTGATGTCATGAAGTGGTGGTTTTCGAGTGAACTTTTTACTTTTAGTTCAGTGGAGACTGGGGCACAGAGGCTGAAATGATCCACGTGAGTCTAGTGACGGTGTGTGGAGTTTAAAAACACAGTGGAGCACTTCCTGTTAGTGTTGGTATCGTTAAGAAGTGACCAATACGATAAACTGGGACTAAACCAGGACTAAACCAGGACTAAACCAGGACTAAACCAGGGACTGAACCAGGGACTGGACCAAGACTGGACCAGGACTAAACCAGGACTAAAACAGAACTAAAACAGGACTGAAACAGGACTGAACGAGAACTGAACCAGGACTAAACCAGAAATGAACAAGAACTAAACCAGGACTGAACCAGGACTGAACCAGGACTGAACCAGGACTGAACCAGGACTGGACCAGGACTGAACCAGGACTAAACCTGGGACTGAATCAAGGACTAAACCAAGACTGGACCAAGACTGGACCAAGACTAAACCTGGGACTGGAACAAAAAATCGATACAGAAATCGATACAACAGCCCGCGATACCAATACTGTATCATGACATTAAATGATACGATATTTTGGTATTTCGGTATTTTCGCGCACACCTACTTCCTGTATCACCACGTGACATCACAAGGTGGAACAGAGTGTGAACTTTGTGTGTTAAACATGTGTGAGTGAAACAAAACCCAACTCCAGGTCGGTGTTGGAGGAGCGAACTACTTACGTTTTGTCAGTTTTGTGTGATACAGAACTTTTTAAAATAACACTGTATTTACGGATTAAAGCCACACTGCGGAACTTCTGGAGGAGGGTCTGCTGCCCACTCGTTCCCACGGTGATGACAGATTTGTTTTTGTTTTTGTGTGATCAGGGCCAGTAAATGTTTAAAATGTAATTCTAATATTACAAAAATTACAATTTAAAATTCTGAAAATGTCACTTTTTCTGTCTTCTCAAAAAAAAAATAAATTAAATAAAATAGTAATAATAGTAAAATAAAGAAATAACAAAATAGCAAACCAATAATTAAATAATAATAATAATAATAATAATAATAATAATAATAATAAAGAAATAACAAACTGGCAAATCAATAATTAAAATAAAATAAAATAAATAAATAAATATAGATATAATTTATAAAGAAAAAAAGAAAATGGAGGCGGCCTGAACATTCATATAGAACATTTTGTACAAGACGATGTGTTTTTGTTGGATTTTTTAGTTTTTGTTGTTTTTTGGTGTAGGTTGGCTTTCATTTTTTTGTGTTTTTAAGTCCAGAGATCGGCCGATACTCACATTTTCAAGGCCGATACCGATTGTTTAGCATCCAGAGAAACCGACGACCGATAAACTGCTGATATTTTTGAGCCGATTTTTTTATTTATTTATTTTTTTTTCTTCAGACTTCCCCAACAGCCTGTTTTACCACAAAATAAATTTAAATAAAGCTTTGTGTTTTTTTGGGTTTTTTTTTTGTGGCATCGACCAAAACTAAATCTGGGCCTGTGGAGGTCAAAGGTCGAAGGCAGATTTGATAAAAAGTCCAAATATCGTTCTGTCTCCACGGAAACGGTCCATGTCCCCGTCGTTCTCTTGAATTTCAATTAAAAACGAAAAACTGTAAAATGTGAAAACAGTTTATTTCAATTTTCTGTTTTTGTGTAAAAAAAAAAATGATTTTGACCTCAAATTACAATTTTTATGTAAATCAGGACTAAACCAGGACTAAATCCTGACTGGTGGAGGTTGCTGGTTCAATTCCAGCTCCCACAGACGAGTGCTGTTGTCGTGTCCTTGGGCAAGACACTTACAGTTTATCCTGAGGTTGTGGGTTAGATTCCGGCCCCGGACACGTGGCCCCGGGGCCCCAGCGGCGACATAACTCACATTCTAACACCAGCGGCATCGTGGGTAATCTGTAGAGACTGAACCAGGACCTGAACCGGGTCTGAACCAGGACTGAACCAGGACTGAACCAGGACTGAACCAGGACCTGAACCAGACGCTAGACTAGGGGCTAGACCAGAGGCTAGACCAGGGACTAGACCAGAGACTAGACCAGAGACTAGACCATGGGCTAGACAAGAACTGAACTGAGACTGGACCAGGGACTAAATTAGGACTAAATTGGGACCAAACCAGAGACTAGATCAGAGACTAGATCAGAGACTGAACCGGAAGTAAATCTGGGACTCAACTGGGACTAAACCAGGGACTAAATTAGGACTAAACCAGAGACTAAACCAGGACTGGACCGGGACTGAACCAGGACTATACTAGGACCAAACCAGGGCATAAACCAGGGACTAAACCGGGACTGAACTGGGTCTGAACCAGGGACTTAATTAGGACCTGACCAAAAACTAAACCCAGTGACTAAACCAGGACTAAACTGTTCATGTCCCGGTAAATTAGGACCAAAACCGAGGCTAAACCAGGACTGAACCAGGACTAAACCAGGACTAAACCAGGGAGAAAACCGGGACTAAACCAGGACTAAACCAGGGAGAAAACCGGGACTAAACTGGGACTGAACTGGGACTAAACCAGGACTAAACCAGGGAGAAAACCACGACTAAACTGGGACTGAACCAGGACTAAAATAGGACCTACAGTCTGCCTCTTTCTCTTGTTTTCCTGTTTCCAGTTAATCCTTTTACAACTAATCCACAATCTCTCTCTCCGTCCATCTCTTTCTCTCTTTCTCTTTTTTTTCTCTCTCTCTTTCAGAAATACTTTTTTATTCCCTCGTTTTGGGGATTACTCTGGATTTTCGTTTTTTAATCGTGTGAGCGAACGACGACTTCCTCATTTTTGTGACTCTGCCGTGATTCAAACAGTTTCGGTGTTTCGCTGTTTTCATCGCAGCTCGAACTTCTGCACCTGCCCAAAACCAGGTCCTAAAACCGGGTCCTAAAACCGGGTCCTAAAACCAGGTCCCAAAAAAACACATCCCAAAACCAGGTCCTAAAACTGGGTCCTAAAACCGGGTCCTAAAACCGGGTCCTAAAACTGGGTCCTCATCCTGAAACCAGAATCCAAACCAGATCCTCGTTTTTCCTCACATCTGGATCTTAAAAAAAAAAAAAAAAAAAAAAAAGTCCCATTTTCAGGACGGAGCAGAACTTTTCCTGAATGTGTTTAGAACTGGTTAGGACCTGGTTAGGACCTGGTTTGGACCTGGTTTGGACCTGGTTTAGTTTAGACCAGGGACTAAACCAGAACTAAACTGTCCATGTCTCAGTAAATTAGGACTAAACCAGGACTAAATTATGACTAAACCTGGTCTAAACTGAATTGGGTCTGAACCAGAGACTAGAACTGAACTGGAACTGAACTGGGACTGAACCATCACTAAATTTGGGACTCAACCAGGACTCAACTGGGACTAAATCAGGACTAAATCCAGAGCCTGAACCAGGGAGTAAATTAGGAATAAATTAGGACCAAACCAGAGTTTGGACCTGGTTTGGACCTGGTTTGGACCAGGTTTGGACCTGGTTTGGTTTGGACCTGGAGTGGACCTGGTTTGGACCTGGTTTGGACCTGGTTTGGACCTGGTTTGGTTTAGTTTCGTTCAGAGTTGGTCTTTGAGGAGGAGGAGGAGGGTGGGGGGCGTGAGGAAGGCGACATTTTGGGGTCCTCTCTGAGCGTGACCTTTGACCTCGGCTCCATATGTTGCGTTTGAGAAAAACAGAAAACAAAAGGAAGACGGACGGGTCCAGAAGTTTACAAAAAAAAAAACAAAAAACCAAAACACAATAGTTTCACTAGAACAGGAAAACTTCAGACGTCGCCCCAAAAACCTCCAAACATTTAAAGAGGGAGTATTATACAGACGTGGGCTGTTAAAGACCAGTGTTATTTGTTTATTTATTTATTTAAAATATTCAGAAATGTTTTAAGCGGCAAATAGATTCTGACGTATCGTATAAATTGATATAATCTGTCTCCTCGCTCTCGTGACTCCTCCTAGACCGGGACTAGTCTGGGACTAGTCTGGGACTCGACTGGGACTAGTCTGGGACTAAAACAGTGTTGAATAATGCAGGACTAGACTGGGACTAGTCTGGGACTCGACCGGGACTCGACTGGGATTAGACCGGGACTAGACTGGACTAAAGCAGTGCTGAATAATGCAGGACTAGACTGAGATTAGACTGGGACTAGACCAGGACCAGACTGGAACCAGACTGGGACTATACCGGGACTAGACTGGAACCAGACTGGGACTATACCGGGACTAGACTGGGACTAGACCGGGACTAGACTGGGACTAGACCGGGACTAGACTGGGACTAGACCGGGACTCGACTGGGACTAGACCGGGACTCGACTGGGACTAAAGCAGTGCTGAATCATGCAGGACTAGACTGGGATTAAACTGGAACTAGACCAGGATTAGACCAGGATTAGACTGGAACCAGACTGGAACCAGACTGGGACTAAACTGGGACTGAACTGGGACTAGACTGGGACTAGACTGGGACTGGACCTGGACTTGACTGGGACTTGACTGGGACTAGACTGGGACTAGACTAGGACTACACTGGGACTAGACTAGGACTAGACCGGGCCCAGAGTGTTGTATGTGTGAGTCTCGTGCTCGGTCACATGACTCTGAGCCGTGTTATGTCAGACTCTAATCCCTTTACATAATCCCAGTCCCGCTCACACTGACCTGCCCCCCCCCGGCCCCGCTCACACGACCTGCCCCGGCCCCGCTCACACCGACCTGCCCCCCCGGCCCCGCTCACACCGACCTGCCCCCCCGCCCCGCTCACACCGACCTGCCCCCCGGCC